TTCCACCCTTATAAGGCCCCAGGCCCTTTACAAACATCAATCTGCATCTACTGAAACTCCCCTGCCACTGGAATGGGTGTGGTTGCTGCAGGTCAGCCTCCAGCCCTCACTGACTGGTAATAATGATCAGTCTGGATTACGGAGGTTGGCTGCTTCCTGACCTACTCCTTCCATGAAGTTCTGTCTCACCAGAGTCCCACAGCAATGGAACAAGTTGACTGTGGAATGAGACCTCTGAATCCATGAACCAAAATAAATCTTTTTTTATTTTATATGTATATTTTTCCTACCTGTATCTAAGCAGACCACATGCATGCAATGCCTACAAAGGTCAGAAAAGGGCATCAGATCCCCTGGAACGGGAGTTATGGATAGTTGTTAGCTACCATGTAGGTGCTGGGAACCAAACCCAGGTCCTCTGCAAGAGCAGCCAGTGCTCTTAACCCAAGTCGTCTCTCCAGTGCCCAAAATAAATCTATCATTCTTTTAAATTTTTCTCTATTTGTCACAGAAACAAAAACCTAAGTAGCACAAAAGGGTATCTTGTTTCTAGAGTAACCACATTATGGTGTTTGAGATGCTCAGTTAAAAAAATTTGAGCCATGCAAAGGAACCAGAACGAGACAGGAATCCATACACAGGAAAATAAACAACAAGAACAGCTCTCCCTGATGTTGAGGAAACTGGACAACGACTTTAAATTGGCTCACTGAAATATATTCAAAGAGCTAAAAAGAAAGCACATATGAAAAATAATAACAAAGGATTCACAAATGTAAATAATGAGCCAGAAACTAAGAACAGGGACCAAAAGCAATTCTGTAGTTAAAAAGACAATTGAAATAAAAAATCACTTCAGGGTTTCAAGAACAGATATAAGCAGAAGCAAGGATCAGTAAGCCAGGAGACAGGTCAACTAGGAGTCTCTAAGGAAAAGAAAGAATGAAAAGAAGAAAAGCAATTCAGAAACCTTTGAGTATAGTAACTTACACCAATGGAGGTCCCAGTTGAAAATAAAGGTCTAGAAGGAATGTTTTAAGAAGTTATGGGTGTGGGTCTGGAGAAATGGCTCAGCGGTTAAGAACCCTGACTGTTCTTGCAGAAGACCCTGATTCGAATCCTAGCACCTACATGGCAGCTAACAACTGTCCATAACTCCAGTTCCAGGGGATCCAACAGCCTCTTCTGTCTTCCACGGCCATTGCACGACACAGGTGCACTTACCTACATGCAGGCAATACATGCATACATAAAAATAAATAAAATATTAAAAAATAAAAAAGAAGTTATGGGTGATAATTTGATGAAACATTAATAGATACATGAAAGAAATGAGGAGTCTTGTGACGGTTAATTTAAAGTTCAACTTGACCTCATTTATAATCTCTTAGGATACACATCTGTGGATGTTTCTGTGAGGGAGTTTCCAGAGAGGTTTAACAGGAGAGAATGTTAACGATACCACTCCATGGGCTGAATATTGGTGGCGCCATCCCATGGGCTGGGGTCCCACACTTAACAAAGAGAAAAAAGAGAAAGCAAGCTGGGCTTCAGCATTCATCTCCGCCTAACTGGGACGCGGTACGACCGGCGATTTTACACTCCTGCCAGCACCACCTTAAGGAGCCCCCACCCTCGTGCTTTTCCTATCATGGACTGCACTCCCAAATCACGAGCCCCAATAAACTCTGCTTCCCTTAAGTCATTTCTTGACAGGAGTTTTGTCACAGAAATGATAAAAGTAACTAACACACCGGGTGTGGTGGCACACGCCTGTAGTCCCAGCACTTGGGAGGCAGAGGCAGGCAGATCTCTGTGAGTTCAAGGCCAGGGAAAACAGTGTCCCTCTACATAGTGAGTCTACAGCCATTACTACACTCACTGGTTTACCCAGTGAGTTCCAGGAGAGCTGGAGATACAGGGAGACACTGTTTCAAAAAGACAAAAAAAAAAAAAAAACTCCCAGTGGGATAACCTCCAACAGATCTACACCTGCACACACTATAATTCGGTTATCAAAAGACAGAAACTTGGAAGCAGCAAGAAACAACTCATCGTGAGCAAAGGATCATCAATAACATTAGGATCTTGTTTTCTAATTTTTTTATTTTTATGTGTGTTTTGCCTGCATGTATGTAAATGCATCACATGTGTGCAATACCTGTGGAGACCAGAAGAGGGAGCTGGCATTACAGTCGTTAGCTGCCATGTGGGTGTTAGAAACCAATCCTGGGTCTTCTGCAAGAGCAGCAAGTACTCTTAACTCCTGAGCCATCTCTCCAGCCCCAGCATCTAGTTTCTAATCACCAGCCTTAGAAGCAGGGATAACAGTGTCCCTATAGAATTGGCTAGTTTTTAGAAGAATCTTCGGAGTCCCACCAGCTGTTGCTTTCTGACACCCAGATTTAACTTGCTGGGATCAGTCATATGGATCCATGAGCCTCACTAGGAACTGCCTCCAAATAAAAAAAGCAATCCTGGGTAGCAGAAGCAGGGTGCTTGTTGCTATGTGCACATACATACATCTGACTGGGATATGTCTGTGTATGTGAATGTGTGCCTGAACTGTGTCAGTGCCATCTCAATGAGCTTTTGATGGGTGTGTTAGTGTGTGTCGTGCACATGGGTAAATGTGTGGGAATGTATGAGTGGCATGTATGTGATTAGGTGTTTCAGTGAGTTCCCTTCTGGCTGGGCAATCTGAGGTGAAGGGAAAGATTTGGGGTTTGGGGTTGTGGCCCGAATTGTCTCTGGGTCTCCTGCGTGATCAGACAAACCATATATTTTATGCAAGTTTATTAACTTACAAAGGAATGAGTACCCAGTGCCTGCCTAGCCCAGCGCCGCCATGACTCAGAGCCCGCCTTCTCAGACCGTGCCACGCCCATAGCGCCCCCCCCCCATAGCATTCGCTCACACCTCCGGGGCCAGCGATCTTGCCCCAGGTCCACAAGGAGTCAGTCCATTCTGTCTTTGAGTTGCTGTGCTGGCTGCGAGTTTCCTACACCATCACACTCTACCGGTGGCCCCTGGCTTCCATCCCCAGATGGCTCCCAGGTTCCCTTCCTACTTCCCGCTCATGTCAGCCCCGCCCACTGGAGGAACCAGCCAATCAGGAGATAGGGGTTCAAGGGGGACACTGAGTCAGACTGTTTTAGGTATGAGATCCCTTGAGTTATTAATGCCATAACGGAAAGACAGCAGCATTGGGAGAGCTCTGAGGTGAGATCAGGACCACATGGGGGGGTGGTCCTCTCTTCTTACACAATTTGAGGGAGGAGGAGGGGTGGGAGAGTGAAAAGTTTATTTTTGGCCTGAAGTTGTTTGTTCCAGGGCTAACCAGTGAGTAGTCAGTTAAAACATGTTAGATGATCAAGCCAATCTAATAAATCTCCACTATATAAACAATATATAATATAAACAATATATAAATATAATTTGTGCCAGGTGTGGTAGTGTACACCTTTAATCCCAACACTCGGGAGGAAGAGGCAGGCAGATCTCTGTGAGATCGAGGCCAGCTTGGTCTACATAGAGTTTAGGACAGCTGTCTCAAAAAAAAACAAATTATTTACGTACATGTGCATGTGGAGGTCAGAGGACAACTTGTGCTGGGGAGAGATTGTGCAATATTAAGGGCTGTGAGCCACAGCAGTTTAAGAACATTTGCTGTTCTTTCAGAGGAGTAGGGTCCAGGTCCCAGTACCCTCGTGGCAGCTCACAACCATCCTTAACTCCACTTCCAGGGGCTCCTATGCCTTCCTCTGGCCTCCAAGAACACCAGACAGCTTGTGGTGCACTTACATACATGAAGGCAAAACACTCAGACATAAAATTTTTTAAGTTAAAATTTGAAGGGCTGTGAGCCAATAGGAAGAGGTGGGAGGCAGGGTCAGTTCAGACCATGGTTTTTATTTTTACATTTTGTTTTGAGACGGGGTCCCACTCTGCAGCCCAGGCTGGCCTCAACCTCGTGGTAGTCTTCCTGCTTCAGGGTCCCAAGTGCTAGTCACAGATGTAAGCCACCACACTCACTCCAGACTATGGTTTTATGAGGAGCTTAAACTGACCTCAGTAGGAGATAGAAAAATGGAGCAGTTCTGTCACTTCACCTCCCTACTTGTGCAGTACCTGAAGAAAGCGAGAGGCAAGGGCCTGTGTCGATGCCCTTGTCTAGCACCTTCTGGCTACACAGCAGGTTGACTCAAAAAAGACAAAGGGTAGCCTCTGCTCCTTTAGATGTTTAAAGTACCCAGAGTGTGATACATGTCCTATGTGGTGCCAGGCACCTGGAAGGTTGAAGGCTGTCATCCTGTGCCCCTACGAGCCCAGAGTCAGTGAGGCAGCCAGGGGGGTGGGCCGCTGACCAAGGATACATAGTTATCTGTTGCCTGTCCTTGATTATTACTTGCTCCTGGTGCGCCTGGTGCACCAACACCATTGATCAGCCACTAGCTTCCTCCCAGTGTTCCTTACTCACCTGCAAAGGCCGTTCCAATGGCACTAGGCCTCACCGCCTAGTGGCCTGCAGTGCCAGGCAGGCCCTCACTCCCTGCCAGCAAAGTCCTCCAATGAAGCCTCCATTAAAGTTTTATTCCAGCTTGAGACAATATCCTGTTTTCAAAGCTCTGCTGTCATGGCCTTTCTGTGCCTCCTCTTGATCATGTGCCTAAGTGGACATCCACCTGTCATCTGCCCATGGAGCCCTAGTACCCAGCCTAGCACAAGCAGTACACACAGCTCATGTAGAGCTCAGAGGTCCCAGACCTCTGGCCCCTTTCTCTGAATAAGCACCCAAGGAGAACAGGGTGGGCAGGGACCTGTAAGGCTGCCCTTGCCCCTGCCTGTCCTACCCCCCACCCCCCCGTACACTCAGTCTGCACAGTCAACAGCTTGATTTGTTTAAGGCAGGAGACAAAGGGCCACCTCAGCCCCTTTATACAGCAGCACAGGCTGGTTGAGTGCCCAGAGTGTGATAATGCTGTACTTCTTGGTCCTAGCTGGCTGGAATGAGAACGGAGAGACATTCACAGAGAAGCAAGGTAGACATGGGGCTGCTGACTGGGGACGGACTGTGGACTGCGGGCATATTCATGGCCATCTTCTTGCTGCTGGTAGACCTGATGCACCGGCGCCAGCGCTGGACTGCCCGCTACCCCCCAGGCCCTGTGCCACTACCTGTGCTGGGTAACCTGCTGCAAATAAACTTTCAGAACATGCCAGCAGGATTCCAAAAGGTAAAGCAGTTGTTGGAGAGCAGGAGAGGTCATGGTGACCCGCCCCCAGCAGAACACAGTAGATGGTAGTGAAGCTACATGCTGGACAGGGAGCTGGGCCCACGGGAGAAAAGAAGAGGCTTCCTGGGGAGAGCACCACAAGACCTGACACTCTGGACTTTCCAAGAGCAAAGGCCGGGAGGTGGAACGGGACCTAGCAGTCAGTTTGAGATCCAGTTGAACACACAGAAGAAATGTAGGGGTACAGGTGGGCACATCAAAATTCCAGCATGCCTGCAACTGGGGGACCGAGGCAGGTGGGTTATAAAATCCAAGCCACCCTAAGATACATAGCAACTCTCTAAAAACTAAACATTTTTAAAAAGAATAAAGTCATGTAAGTCTCACATCCCTTCTCATTCAGTCAGAGGGAAAGGCTTTAAGGATATGGGAGGGGGGGTTCCTGATATTGAACAGTGCTTCGATCAGAAAATCACAGTTGAGGTGCAGTGACTGCTTTAAATCTTTTGCTATTCATGGTTCTGGGTCTCACTGCTCACCTGTGAGCCTGAGTTTCCTCATCTATACACGGTGCTAATGGGACCTATTGCAAATTTATGACACTAGCAAGGCCATAACAGAGTGATTGAGTCCAAAGTGATTCCCCAGCCAAATACCAGAGTTCATCCCTGCATGGACTCACTACTGGGCCTCCCCTGCCAAGTCCTACACAGTATAGCTAAGACCAGGAATTCAGGCTTGCCAGTAATGCACTGACCCTCTGCCTACAGCTGCGGTGCCGCTTCGGGGACTTGTTCAGCCTACAGCTGGCCTTTGAGCCTGTGGTTGTGCTAAACGGTCCAGCAGCACTGCGTGAGGTGCTGGTGAACTACAATGAGGACACTGCTGACCGACCACCAATGCACACGGTGGAACACTTGGGCTTTGGACCACATTCTCAAGGCAAATGCAGATAGTGGCCGAAAGTGAAGCAGGGAGATAATGGGGACCGGAGGGGGTTCAGGGATTGTAGACAATTCAGGACCTAATAGGGGGCAGCTGCAAAATGCAGGCTCAGAAAAAAGACAGCAAAAGTTGGTGGCTAAGGAGGATGGAAAAGGGATTCTATAGTGGAGACAGGAGACTATGGGTGGGGGGGGCGTGGAGGACCAGTTCTCAGGCCCAAGTGACCACCTGCCTCCAGGTGTGATCCTAGCACACTATGGGCCTGCCTGGCGTGAGCAACGGCGCTTCTCCGTGTCCACCTTGCGTCATTTTGGCCTGGGCAAGACGTCACTGGAGCAGTGGGTGACTGAGGAGGCCGGCTGCCTCTGTGCTGTCCTCACCGACTATGCTGGTAGGTGATAGATTGGGGGTACAGATGGGGACGAGACAAGGGCAGCACCCTGACTGGCATCTCTGCTCCCCAGGGCACCCTTTCAGCCCCAACACCTTATTGGACAAAGCAGTGTGTAATGTGATTGCATCCCTCCTCTATGCCCGCCGCTTCGAGTATGATGATCCCCGTCTCATCAGGCTATTGGACTTGTTGAAGGACACTCTGGAGGAGGAATCTGGCTTCCTGCCCATGGTGTGGGGCTCTGGGGTTTCTATACCCAGATAACTGCATGCAGCGAGGCCTCCCAGGAAGAGGATCTGCGTGCAGGGCTAACAGAGAGGACATTCTACAGAGTCCCTGTGGGCGGAAAGGCCTAGAGCAGGACAAACCTTAGTAACAGGAGGGAGCTGTCAACCCAGATCTAGGGCTCCAGAAAGAGAGTCTGTGCTCCTCTACATGGAAGCCACTCAAATCTGAAATTCCCGTGGTAGAATAACCCTTCAGGCAGCCCAGGGCCAAGAGAAAGATTGGGGTGGCACTTAGGGGCTATGTCTCCATCGAGGTGAGGCAGGTGAAGGAGGACCTAGGTCTACCCTAGAATAAACTGGTACCTGAGACTGTTCCCAGGTGAACACTGAACACAGGAAGGACCCAGGTCCTCTTTTGTCACAGTTCCTGAATGTGTTCCCAATGTTCCTGCGCATCCCAGGGCTGGTGGATAAGGTCTTCTCTGGGAAGAAGGCCTTCATGGTCACTCTGGATGAGCTGGTGACTGAGCACAAGATGACCTGGGACCCTGACCAACCACCCAGAGACCTGACTGATGCCTTCCTGGCTGAAGTGGAGAAGGTGACTGGCAACTGCAAGGTCCTGGGCAAGAGGCTGTGGGTGTGGTCCTGTGAGTTGTGCATCCAGGCAGGATGGGGCCTGGGTATCACCCAGTGGCCCAGCACCTGTGCTGCCTGGAGTCAGTGGGAGGTTATTATGGGTTTGCCCCTTCTCTCCACTGAGCCCTCCCTCTCTCCCCGGCTCAGGCCAAGGGGAACCCTGAGAGCAGCTTTAACGATGTAAATCTGCGCCTGGTGGTGTCGGACCTGTTCACTGCAGGGATGGTGACCACCTCCACCACGCTGTCCTGGGCCCTGCTGCTCATGATCCTGCACCCAGATGTGCAGCGTGAGCATGGCTGAGGCTGGGAGGGTAAGGGAGAAAAGGCAGAGGCACATTCCCCAAGCTTGCTTGGAATACTTGTGGCTTCTAGCACTCTAACCCAAGCTCCAACAAGCACAATGTCCTGTTCATGTGGACACAGCCCTTAACACAGAGGTAAGAGAGGGTTGGGATGAAATGTCCTAGGACTGCTTTGCTGAGGGGATGTTTTCTCTCCAGGCTGCGTCCAACAGGAGATTGATGAAGTCATAGGGCAGGTGCGGCATCCAGAGATGGCAGACCAGGCCCGCATGCCCTTCACCAACGCTGTGATTCATGAGGTGCAGCGCTTTAGTGACATTGTTCCATTTGGTGTGCCTCACAAGACATCTCGTGATATTGAAGTGCAGGGCTTCCTTATCCCTAAGGTAGGAGTGGGGCCCTCCAATGCCCAGTCAGTGCCACCAGTCAGCTAATGGCTTCAGCATAGTCACTACCCAGTTAGGGAGGACTGGAATTTAGGCAACTCAATTCTGAATGCCAAGGTACCAACTTCCCAGGCTGAGTGAGTGTAGGAAGCAGAGTAGTAGCAAGTTAGCGCTGTGCACCAGAACCCCTCACTACATACTAGGCAGACAAAAAACATGGCTAAGGTGATAGCAGCCACTGCATAAGGTAGGCGGCAGTGTCGTGCGCCTGTGTCACAAATACAGGAGGCAGTGTCGTGCGCCTGTGTCACAAGTACAGGAGGCAGTGTCGTGCGCCTGTGTCACAAGTACAGGAGGCAGTAGGCAGTGTCGTGCGCCTGTGTCACAAGTACAGGAGGCAGTGTCGTGCGCCTGTGTCACAAGTACAGGAGGCAGTGTCGTGCGCCTGTGTCACAAGTACAGGAGGCAGTGTCGTGCGCCTGTGTCACAAGTACAGGAGGCAGTGTCGTGCGCCTGTGTCACAAGTACAGGAGGCAGTGTCGTGCGCCTGTGTCACAAGTACAGGAGGCAGTGTCGTGCGCCTGTGTCACAAGTACAGGAGGCAGTAGGCAGTGTCGTGCGCCTGTGTCACAAGTACAGGAGGCAGTAGGCAGTGTCGTGCGCCTGTGTCACAAGTACAGGAGGCAGTGTCGTGCGCCTGTGTCACAAGTACAGGAGGCAGTAGGCAGTGTCGTGCGCCTGTGTCACAAGTACAGGAGGCAGTGTCGTGCGCCTGTGTCACAAGTACAGGAGGCAGTAGGCAGTGTCGTGCGCCTGTGTCACAAGTACAGGAGGCAGTGTCGTGCGCCTGTGTCACAAGTACAGGAGGCAGTAGGCAGTGTCGTGCGCCTGTGTCACAAGTACAGGAGGCAGTGTCGTGCGCCTGTGTCACAAGTACAGGAGGCAGTAGGCAGTGTCGTGCGCCTGTGTCACAAGTACAGGAGGCAGTGTCGTGCGCCTGTGTCACAAGTACAGGAGGCAGTAGGCAGTGTCGTGCGCCTGTGTCACAAGTACAGGAGGCAGTGTCGTGCGCCTGTGTCACAAGTACAGGAGGCAGTAGGCAGTGTCGTGCGCCTGTGTCACAAGTACAGGAGGCAGTGTCGTGCGCCTGTGTCACAAGTACAGGAGGCAGTAGGCAGTGTCGTGCGCCTGTGTCACAAGTACAGGAGGCAGTGTCGTGCGCCTGTGTCACTTGTCTCTGTCATAGCATCCAAGAGGGTGCTGAAAAGCTTTTAGGGCTGAGGTTGTAGGAAAAGGTCCAGGTGTGTGCAGGTAGATGCTGTGCATGGGAACTTGGTGTCAGGGTCTTGGTGCCCCCATCCCAGTCCATGTTCATACCATGTGTCTCCTTCCAGGGCACGATACTCATCACCAACCTGTCCTCGGCTCTGAAGGATGAGAGTACCTGGGAGAAACCCCTCCAATTCCATCCTGAGCACTTCCTGGACGCCCAGGGCCGCTTTGTGAAGCCTGAGGCCTTCATGCCGTTCTCAGCAGGTGCCTGTGGAAAGACCTGGCTCCCTGTCCCCATCCAGGGTAGCTTGGAGGGTGAAGCCAGGCCCCAGACTGACTGACCTCTGCTTCCCCCAACAGGCCGCCGCGCATGCCTTGGGGAGCCGCTGGCCCGCATGGAGCTCTTCCTCTTCTTCACCTGTCTCCTGCAGAGATTTAGCTTCTCAGTGCCTGCTGGACATCCCAGGCCCAGTGACCATGGGGTTTTTGGCGCACTGACAACCCCATCTCCGTACCAGCTCTGTGCTGTGCCCCGCTAGGAAGGGAGTCTCAAACCCCGTTCACAACCCAGGTGGAGTCCTACTGTAAAGGAAGCCATTTTACTATCTCTGAACTAAAACATCCCAGTGATATCACCAGGCTGTAATAAGATCTCTATAGCCTCCCCAGGGGCAGCCTCAATCCCCTACTTATCCTTACCTGACCACTGGACCCCAGTGGAAGGACTGATATGTTGAACCTCAGAGACTGACAGCCATCCTTGCCGTTACCCCAGTCTACCCCCACCCCAACTTTTCTGCCCAAATCAATGACAAAGCTTATACTCAGATCCTGGCATCTGGCAGGAGGGGCCAAAGTGGATTGCTGAGAGATGACAGTGTAGGCCGCATGGGTGGGGGAAGGGCAGGACTCCTGGAAGCCCTCACTTCAGACTCCTCCACCTGCCACACAGCAGTGGCAAACTGCTCATCCAGCATCATCATATATGCTACCTAACTTCTTATATGATGCCCCAAAGTGATGGAGAAAGCTGGGAGGCAGGAAGGAATATGTCAGGATTAGAACCCAGGGTTAGCTGTCAGATGCTGGACGTTTCCCTAGGAGGCTCGATAGGAGCCCAGGAGGGGACTGCCTCACAAGCTGCTCAGTTAGGGAATTGGTCTAATTCCCTAACCCATCAGAGATGCTGATGTCCAGGTTCCTTGCACAGTGAGGCATCTCTCTGGCCAGTTTGAAAGAGCCCAGGGATTGGGTACAGGAGTGCCTAAGGAGAGGCATCAACCTTGGGTCCATGGACAGGGTGCTGAGAAAAAGAAACCACTTTAACATTGCTGTGCCACTACATAGTGCGACTCTGGCCCCATCCCTCCCACTCTGGCCTTATTTTCTATTCTACTCAGAGAAAGCTGCCCCAGATTGTCTGACTCTGGGAGGTGTGACCCTTGCCAACCTATAGTCCCCCACTATGATGGTTAACATTGTCAACTTGACAGGCTCTACAGTCACCTAGGAGACAAATCTCTAGGCCTGTCTGTGAGGGAGTTTCTAGATTGGGTTAATTGAGATGGGAAGACTCACCCTCAGTGTGGGTAGCACCATCCCATGGGCTGGCGTCAGAGACTGAGAATAAAAAGGAGAACGCAAGCAGAGCACCAGCATTCATGTCTCTGCTGCCTGATTATGGACACAATGTGGCCAGCTGCTCTAGCTCCTGCCACCATGTCTCCCCTGCCACAGCGGACTGCACCCACAAACTGGGAGCCAGAGAAAGCCTTTCCCTCCTTAAGTTGCTTTTGTCAGGTATTTTGTCCAAGCTACTGGCAAACCCTGCTGAGGGCCAGTATGGCTATCTTTCACCTTTGTCCTCGTCCCATGGTAGCTAATCTGAACTGGTTACAGGGGTAGCATCCTAGAGTGTCTAAGGACCAGTCATTTCCCTGAGACTTTAGTTTGTTTAGGAAGCATCTGGGACAGAACTCCAGACATTTAAAGCAAAGAGCACCCTGAGGCCTATTTTCCCAGAAAACCCTACAGTATCCCAACTAGGATTCCTGCCCCCATTTTCCTAAGTGCCCTCAGGAGAGAGAGTACCATAGCTCACAACGTTCCAGTGACCATGATTGGCCCCTAGCACTTATTCTAAAGGCTGGCCTGGGCCCTGTGACCCAGGACATGGGAGCTATAAATGTGCACCAATAGCTGCCGAGAGTGTGGATGTTCCAAGGCAGCCTTGGGGTCCTGAAAATAAAGCAGCGAGGCTTGTAGAAGCAGCAAATATAGTACTTACTGAATCCTTTCTCATTTGTGGCTCTTCGCCTTGGAGCTGTCCAAGGTTGGTACCACCCCAGCCAGAACTTTCTCAGGAAATGCAGGACCCAGCTCCCAGATCTTTCCTCCTTGCTCTCTAGTCATCTAGCTACCTGGTACTTCTCCCTCTCCTCTCCAGCTCAGGAAGGTTTGGGAACGGAGTGGCCTTGTATCCCTGACAGGGTTTCCAGATCTGAGATGGGGGACAAGGCAGTCCTGCTGCAACAGGACCGGGCAGCTATCTTAACCAGATAGATATACAGCAGCTTCCTGTTCCACATTTTTCTTTACCTAGAATGGAGGAAGAGGGACATAGCAGTAGGCAGAGGCAGAGTCTGTGTTGTATGGATGGGGAAACTGAGGCAGGCTCCCCAGGAAGTCATGGGAGGCCAGGATTCAGACCCATTCCCTGCTCATAGCAAGTCTGCTACCTCTCAGTTTCATACAGAGCTCCTGTCTACCAGGATGACAACTTGGCCTGGTGGTTTTCAGACTGAGCTAGTCCCAATACTCCTCATCCCATAGTCCGCCCCCCCACACACACACACCCTAAAGTCTTCAATGCCATCTCAGGAGAATCTGTCCTGGGGATGTTCTGATTGAGAACTCAGACCCTCCTCACCTCCCAGCCTAGGGTCCCTCCTCCTCACTAATACTTGCTTCTTCCCTGGATGACCTCACCTGCCCTTCCTCTTGAGATAAAATGTCGGTATCCTCCTTGGGGTGGTATCACTACATCCTCCCATTTCCCTGGTGGTTACAAACTTCAAAGGAGAATCAAGAGGGCAGAATATGAGCACCGAGGCCCTCAGAACAGCTTATCCTCCCATTTCTTCACGACGTGTTAGACTTGTTTTTCCTGAGCGGTGGTAAAGTTGTTTACCTCCACCAAAGGGGTCCTGCACTTAAGCCTGGGACCCTGCATTAGTCAGGGTTCTCCAAAGAAACAGAGCCAGTAGAATGAATATATATGTATAGAGATTTATCAGCTTAGCTCACAGAATACAGTCCCAGTAGTCCAACAATGGCTGCACCACACTGGAGAGGTTGAGAATCCGTAGTCGCTCAGTCCACGAGGCTGGATGTCTCAGTAGTCCCAATCTGGCACTGAAGGTCTGACGAATTCCAAAAGATCAGCTAGGCTTCAGTCTACAGCAGCAAGACGAACTCACCAGCGAGAGAGAGAAGGCAAGCAGCAAGAAGCCAGGCGTTCTCCTCTGCTGTGGCCTTTTATCTGGGCTGCCATCAGAAGTAACACCCACATTTAGGGTGTGTCTTCCAGCTTCAGATGATCCAATCAAGAAGATCTCTCTCATTTCAGTTAATCCCAGATCCAGTCAAGTTGACACCCAGGATTAGCCATCACAAGTCCACCCCTTGTCAACTTGACACCCAATAGCATCTCTCTATGTCATGCTTAATTTTCAAATGAAATCAATGTTGAGGTCATAATTTCACCTAACATGATATAACTATCCCATCATACAATGACCAATGCATTACATAAGAGTAGTTAATAACGTCTTAGAGGAATGCTTAGTCCTTTAGTATCTCATAACCCAATATAAGGTTCACAATACTTAACCACTTAACACTAATCTCAATTATACATTCAAAAAAAGAATAACACAAGTATCTGCTTAACATATGTGTATACATGCATAATCCTATTCTTTCTTTTTTGTCTTTTTGAAGCAGGATCTCCCTGTAGCCCCAGCTGTCCTGGAACTCACTATGTAGACCAGGCTGGCCTTGAACTTACAGAGATCCACCTGCCTCTGCCTCCCAAGTACTGGAACTACAGGTATGCACCACCATGCCCAGCATAAGCCTATTCTTAACCAAATAGGACAAAAATACTCATGTCAGTTACAATCAACGTTTCTCCAACTGGTCACATGGCCTAAGTTGGTATTTGTAACTACCTTCCTCTATGACCCATTCTGTATTTCCTCCACAATCAGCAAGTGCCTCTGCAGGTCTTGGCTCTTTCCCTGGAGGGGTGACCCATACTTTCATCCCTGAAGGGTCTGGGCCATTTATTGTCCTGTCTGGATTGGGTTGTTGCAGTTTCCCATTGACCTTAATCACAGGACATGGTAACACCAAAAGTCACCCTAAGGAATCTCCTGCCTTCCAGACATAATCTTCATTACCTCCATTGTGGAGAACCAGTCAATTTCCCCCTGGTAGTCTGGGTCAATCACCCCTCCTAATACTGTAATTCCTTTCTTAGCCTGCTGACTTAAGGGCATCAGAAGCCCAAAGTGTCCAGGGGGAAATCTTACCTTCCAGTTTTGTCACGCCATCTCCAATGAAGCCCGCGTGAGATCCTCCGGGGGTTGAGGCTGGAACTTCAAGGAAGGTTGCCTCTTGGAATTGGTTGTGCTGAGAAACAAGCAGTGTACTTGGCATGCTTTTACTTGCTATTATTTTTCTCACTATCACTTTATCTTGGGCTTTCTGGGGGCCCGGAAAGCACCTGGTGTCCTTGGCACCGCTATCACCGCCTTTATTGAAATCCTTTAATCATCCTAGTTCAGATGCACCACTATTAACTAAAGATATTGTAATGAAAGATATTTTAGACATAGAAGTAATTAAGCAGAATTAATGCTGGATAGTCCAGGGAATAATGGATTTCTAGAAGAAAAATATAAATGGATAAATATAGATAGAAGAAGGGGTTCTTGTTATTCATTACAATTCATGGATAAATTGGTAAGATCAAGACCACCTTGGTGTCTTTTGATAAACAATCAATAAGAGAGCATTAAAGAGCAAATATAGAAAGTATTTTAAAATTGGTAGGATAAGAGAAAAATATGGTTTCATGGATCTCTAACATGAGATAGCCTTTTGGGACTTATAGAGTTAAACTAACTTAAAACATGGGATAATTTTTTATGATCTAAGGGGTTAAAGAATGACTTAGAAACCCGATAGCCCACTACAAATAAGCAAGGAATGTTATCAAACAGTTACAAATGTAATATCAGGGACAGTTAATATTGAAAGTGCTTGGTGATTTAAGGTCATCCTGACCTGAAATCACAAGACTAACCAGAGTTCTGAGTGCGTAAACTGGTAGTAGAAACCACAGTATCATAAAGCAGGAATTTGCTGGCTGGCACCAGGTCAGGTTGATAAGGAAATGTGTTTTGGCTATACATGATGGTTGGCAAAATTGTTTCACTTTTACTGAAAATCTTAGGAAGTGACTAATTCCAGAACAGTCATGCTGATGATGAACTTTTGCAATCTTTACTGTATATATTTCAAACCTTGCAGCTGCAAAAATACACCCAGACCTTCACCAAGTTCTTGT